TAACCTAACCTACTAACTACTAACTAACTACTAATACATATATACTATATATATATTACTATATGTTGTGTGTGTGTGTGTGTGTGTGTGTGTGTGTGTGTGTGTGTGTGTGTGTGTGTGTGTGTATGTATATCACTATATTGTGTTCATATGATCTGTACAAATTGTTCATACGTACATTTTCTTGATGGAAGTTTCTGTACTAACCACGGTCTCACAAGGTAATTGATTGTTGCTAGAATGCTGTTTTGGCTCATTGGTTTGTGTACTTGGCGACCAGTGTGAGAAATGCACGTTCTTTAATATAATGTGCCTGGTTTACACAGTCACTGCAAGTATTGCAGACGCTGGCCCTGCGGACATTAAGCTGAGAAAATTTGGCAACGATGAAACCTTCGCCTACTCGATTGTTCGCTTGGAGGGGAAGATTGGTATGCCCTGCAAAATTTGTTACCATTGAATAGTTAACAATTGGGTTGTGGGTAGCGTGTTTTGCTGCCATGTGCCCGGTACCTATGTAGTGGTACCAACATTTGTGTCATATCAGGATTTGTTGCGACTGGTTGATTGCGAACATTTCGGAATGGGTATTGTCGTCAGAGCTCCAAAAATTGAGAATCTACTTCCACCCCGACGCATGAACCGCATCGCTATATGTTTTGAGCTGACTGTATAGCTATCGGATATGTATATCTCGGCAATACCTCTCGCGTGATAGTGTGTGCGTGTGTGTGTATGGGTCTTGTAGAGCCAAGCATGTGCGGAGTGAAGTGTATCATGGTTTGAACTCTGAACGGGCAGTGAGGCTAGAAGATTGTTGAGCGATAACTGTGATGTAGTTCTGAAATGTCTTACGAGCATAGAAGCCCTCTCAGAGAAATGTGTGTGAACCACAATAAATACTCTATTTTTATCAAGAGTTTATCAAACATAGACGTAATCGTAGTGATGTGAAAATGAAGATTGGTATTGTGCATAGTGTAGCTAATGGTGTGATAGGTCGGTCTCATGCTACTGCGGTATTTGCTTCGGGTTGCGACTTGCGATACGCTGTAATGAATGATGATGTATTCACTACTTAGCAACAATGGCAACAAATAGTGTACAATATTAAACACTGATGACAACACACGAGACGTGAGATTTGCATGGAGAATACATTTAATACCATCAAAAGGTTAGCACCACGAGAAGATATCCTCAGAATGGGTAGGAGTTAGTTGACTTTCAGTAGACTCCGCGAGGAGTGTACCACCATACTCTGTTCATTTCTGCTAAAAATCGGTCAAATACCAATAGGCATCAACCCTAAAGTTTATAGACAGTCCATTTGCTTAGCAATGACGAACATAGCTCTGTCACGATAAAGTACTCTCAACTCCTTCTCTCATACACTCCGTGTGCTTTCGGTAAGTTCAACTGTTTTTCATGGTTATCCCGTATATCTATAACAATTTCATTACAGGTTCGGGGCAAGGTGCTGGCTCTACATCGATACATAGCTCTGTGCAGTGGGGCTCAGAAAAGGCAGAATCACAGGTAGACCGGCCTCGTGATTGTGTCGTTGTCTGCGCTATATTTATTCCACGATAGTCTCATATATATTCAACAGTTGTACTATGCATGCGATCCGGTGGATCTTGTCTTATCCAGGTGTAGCCTGCTCAACGTCGTACAGCGTTGTGTGTCTAGTATGCTGGTACGATACTTATCTACTGGCGGTGGTTGACCATTGGTTGTGACATGGCACTGTTGTACATATTTTTCACCCAGTCGACATACTGGAGCTCCATTCAGTGCCCTAACGCATACTTTCACGGACGATGGCCAATCACAAGTGTTTCATCACATAAATCGCAAAGCTGGAAGTGTGCGCAAACAACCCTGGTTGTGTTTAAAATCCCTCGTTATGTTTATCTGCACTGGCCGTGGTGTCAGTAGCCTTCTCTGATAAAGTATTTTTAGTCGTCTGCTCTGTCCCGGCTTCCTCTATTTTGTGATACCTTTCACATATAGTTTAAACTTGCTGAGGGTTATTGTTCTGGCCTTGACCTTGTCATATATCTAATGACAAGAGAGGCACGATTGGAATACTTTTTGATCGTTCGTATCATATTTGGTAGGTGCATTTTGGCGCATGTAAAGTTTTGCATAAGCTTACAATGCCAGATACCCGAGGTACCGCAATTGATTCCTTGACTGTGTTTCATCGATTTTTGTGAACACAGGGCGAGTGGCCTGTGATCAAAGGCCATTTCAAAGTTCTTGTGCATCTATCCAAGGGAAAGTAAGTGCAATTCTCCGTGATTTCTCATCTTGAGCAGGTTCTTTAGCAACAGTAAGCGTTTTGGCTGAGGATGAGGATTTTTTTACCCTATATGTCATGTGCACCAATATATTTCATGGTATAACAGTTCGCGAAGGAGTACCGAGTGGTTCTATTTCTCACAAGGAGATACTACTCCATACATTTTCTGTGTTCAATCAGATATGTATCGACATGAAGGGTAACTAGACTCGAGTTCACAAACTCGAGTTCGATGTGCTCAGGCATAGCACTCATACGCCTGTGCCGAAAGTCTTACCAGTTATGTACCAATGTGGCAGTCATTATCTTTGATCGTTGAAACTCATAATAGGGATCACGAATGCACAGTGACAAGTCAACCTATGACAACATGGAGAATTGTTTATTCATAAGTGCTGACCAACTTTTCTCTCCGTATCAAACTACTACAGGAACAAGGTCAAGTTGCAGACATCTACAGGCCACACTCACAGCCTCGATGTGTTAAATGACCCCACAGCACAGAACGAGGCATCGCATAGTGTGCGACTGATCTACTATGTGCAAAAGGATGACGATAGGGGCTACTTTACGCCCAGTTCTAAGCCTACTAGTAAGTGCATCCTTGAAGACTTGCGAATGAGCTTAGATGTGAGCAATGCTGTTATATAAGGGGACAATTCAGTCCAGTTTGTGTTGGGCTGTAGTACCGAGTAGGCTGTAGGTTTGAGTACTGGTTACATAAGGTAGACAACTATGTCGACGGCACTTGGTTTGCGTCGGTGTCAACGCAACGAACCAAAATGCCTCTGCCCATGCGCAAGTAAATCTTGGTCTGGATGGGAGTGCTCACTGTGAAATCTTTTCATTTCGCCTGTGCTTAGTACTCAGAGCATAGCATGGTAGTGATTGGCTTCGTTTAATGTGGGCGATTCGGACAAGGGATGCTTATACACGGCTGAGTTCGAAGCTGTACATGTTTTGGGTATTGGTGTATACACGCAGGCGGTCTGGTACCAATCGTGGGTACAGTAGATGAAAATATTTTGTGTAATGGACAGTCAAGCTGATATCACTTCTTGAGGGGCTGTGTGGATCCAACATCATTTCTGTGTGTGGTCGACTGAAGAAACGTTGCCGGGTGTGTAGGTTCATAGTCGACGATAGTTATTGTATCATGAGTTTCTTGCTTACCAGCAATAGCATTGTCGTTCGTATACCTGGGAATGTTCGGTATCTTCTGTCGATGCGTTGGAACATGCGAAAAAGAACTACGCTCCTCTGATTCGCTCATGTTTTTTTGTCTTGTGTGATATTTCATCCTCAGCGGTCGAGGACGCCATCGAGCGCATACAGATGGCTGGGCTAATGATGCAGTGCTTCTGCGCAACCAATCTGCGTACGCACGGCTTAGGATCGTTCACTTTTGCACTGGAGGTACGATTCTTTTGATCTGGCTATGTATTATAAAGGAAAAGCTACATCTATTAAGATAATGCTCACTATAACTTAGGTTATAGTTAAATATGTATCCTTTATATGTGTATAACGTACAGTCCTTCTATGTGTATGTGTCGTATCTATTTACATATATGCACATACACAAGTTTTGTATCCGCCTTGCAGTAGTACGTCGGGGTATGTCACCTGCTTTGTATGCATGGTCGTCAACTATACGACCGCCTCCTATGATAGCGCAGCAGCCTCTGAGTATCATTGATGCTCCATCTGGTGTTTAGTGGCTCATTCCAATGCGGTCTTATGGACCCCAACCTATGATACCGCTCGATATCAGGTTACTCAAATTTATATCCTACCTGTTTGGGGTGTATTCCGTCTAACAAACCTATGACTGTGTCAAGCAATACAAAAGTGACGAAAGTGCCGGACAGAATAAATAATATGCCTAAGACTGACGAAATCGGTCATATATATGCATACAGATGATGGATGACGGACGAGCTCGGCTGCCCAAAGTACATGTTGTTTCTAGTCAAATAAGCAGGAAGGAGATGCGAACTAGGTGGCATACAGGAGGTGACAACTGGGGCTATGCGTTTGTGGCCGAGGACTTGCGGTATGTATGATACATTTGCTGCAGATTTCTGAATGATAGCTATATGAATGTATATATACCTAAAACTAAAGAAGGGTGTATGGCCCCATATCAATGTGTAACACAAAAGGATGTTCAGTATCGTTGACTTTGTCGTATAAATTGGAAGCTACCTATGCATGTGTGTTTGCCCATACACACACAAAAAAACACATGTACACACACACACACACACACACACACATGTACACACACACACACACACATGTACTCACATACTCACCGTTTCTCCTCCATAGCAAAACCTTTCCGGAGGAGGAAGCTGCGACCACTAAGGACATTGTTTTCTTGTCAGCGACTGAGTACGATAAAAAGAAACAGGCTGCGGTTATGCACACGGCACTGGGTGGTGGTCGCCAGGGCTTGTTCGGTGGAGCTAGTCTGCACTGCTGGCCGGCATCAGTCGCACAGATAGCACCCTGTTTCCTGGACGAAAAGACTGTGGATAAGAAAACGGTAAGTGTCAAGAATGCTAAAATGTTGCGGGTTAAGTGGGTACATACGAAATCTACGTAGCAATACTTCTAGTTAGAACGGTTTATAAGCTATTGAAATTCAGTCCAGCCTCGGGATCAGTGTCTAGGTAGGGCTGTTGGTTGCGAGTAGTCTGTACTGTAGATCTATCTTTGTAAAGTCACATTCTGCGTCCGGAGGAACAAACCAATTGAGATATAAATATATGTTAGGGATACTAAGATAAGGATAGCATATACAGGGTGATTTATATTTGGTGTATATAGGGTGCTATATAAATAGCATGTGCAGGGTTTTTTGTGTTTTTGCCTCAGCTCGTACAGGTGTTTGGAGAAACCAATGGCATGAGAGCGCAAGTATGTGATATTTCTTGACAGTATGTGTGTGTGGCTGATAGTGTGGCAAACGCAAAGAGGGACAATTTGCTTGCTTGCTTGAAAAATTCTGAGACATATGTATGCGACGGCAGCGGAAACCAAATATCTAAAACCCCAGGTGAAACGTGGGCAACTTATTATCTATTATGTGGCGCAGGTGACAGCAAAGGAACATCGTTCACTCGATTGTTTTCTAGTAGGCATTCGTATAGCACTTATGTTTATGTGTTCATTTATATGACATATTGAATTGTTGCGTGAATCCATGCGTCTGGCGATGAAAGAACGTTACACTAGAGGCTATCCAGATAGTCCCTTGGGCCGTATAGCGTAATACATAAACCAGGATTGAATTTCCTTATCATCGTTCACGTCCATGCTATTCTCCTTTTTTTTTCTCCCTGGCCATTTCTGGCCATTGTTCTCGTTTTTTTAATCCCCTCTGTCTCTGACTTTCGTCTGTCTCATCTTGAATTGTAATTTTTAGCTTTGCTTTTTTTAACTTTTATTTTCTGTTTCGGTCACCTGACAGACCTTCGACGACAGTGGAGGCCGTGGAAAGTACTGGGCCATGTACTCCACGACTCTTGGAGCAACTATGCATGAAGCGGTGAGAGATTTGTGATATCATATCTTAGTGTGATATTATGATGTTTTCTTCTCTTATGTATACGTGGCTGTACACACACTCATACAAATCGTATTTGCTGTGTGCCTCTACTATCTCACACACTGTGTCTGGAGTGGAAACAAGCTTGGGCACTACCTGTTGCGATGTGCGTCTCACGCCGGCTTCGAAAGAGATCAAAGGCCCTAAGCATATATATACAGTATGCGCAGTCTTCTGATGTTGAACCCTGATAATGCTTCCCTAATTCGGACGAACCCTCATCAGCTTTGCACAACTCTGACTATATTAACGATGTTCTTCTCCTCACAGGGCCATATGTTCGGGCTACCGCATATCTACGCCACTACCACAGGCAACGGTAAGTCAAGATCGAAGTTTCAGTACACGCGGAGTTTGCTGGATCATATTGCCAACCGTGCCCAAGCGTATGTTGACATCGACGCACAATTGCTGCATTTCGGGTCCGAGTGACTTAGTTAGACACTCAGACCGTAATAGGTTGTGTGGATGGCTGGGAATCGTGGCCTATATTTGGAATATTTCTATGAAGCGTAAGCTCGTTTCTCTATCGTTCTCCGTTGCGCCCCAGATCAAACGTCTGTAACATATACCATACACGTATCATAGTTCCTTTTTCATCTGGCTACTCATGATCAGAGTAACCAATGAAGCAAATATTATGCGTTTCTTGAAAGAGAACCCTCATTGGCAATATTTGAGTATCATTCCAAAAGTCACCTGTCGATCGTATACATATCCACGCAAACGTTACTGAATATCTCCACACACTTTATTGCATATCTCAACAGTGTCTATATAGTCGAAGCAAACAGGTTTTTAGTGAGGCCTTTGCTAAATTCCAGGCAAAAGATCTGTCGTCGATAGCATAAATTTCTATTTTAAAAAAACACACATGCATTACATACCCAACACAGGTATAATGGCACGAGGGTTCGACTATTTCAACAGATTCTTCTTAGCCAAGGAACCCAATCAAGAGAAAGCCATGCTTATTCCTGAAGAAAGAAGGGGTGGCACCTGGATAAGGGCGTCTGCACTGCACCTGAGGCATTCGGAATGGTTTGTGAGAATGCGCTCGGTGGAGAATGCGGAACGAGATTTCCATGAAATGGATGTGCCGAATATCACGCTGACCACTGGTATGTGCTGTTAAATACTCGATTTATAACGCGCATCTGTATCTGCGCGCATGACAAAATTGTGTTGGTTTAATTTTGATACCAGTATACGAATATATACAATCACTGTTGATAGCTGCTACTTTAGTGGTATGTGTTGCCAAGTATATAGGTATCAAAAGACCACTAATCCATTTAATCTGTGGAAAACATGAGCTGGTCTGAAGAATCATTTCTGCCATTTATATATATACCACTAAGCCACTAATATAACATGTCTAATTCCACAGTATCTAGTATACAGATATATCTCATCTCTGTGAGCAACATATACATTTATTAAATTTTTTTACCACTTGAATATACCCAGTACGCCCCTATTATCGCACCTTCACATACAAAGCATACAATAGACAGACATCTCTCAAATCTGTGGGCAACTTCGACGGTTTTTGAATTTTTTTATCACGTGTATGTACACCAATTAGCCACTACTATCGCATCCCTACACCCACAGCATCCAATGCGCAGATATACGACGAAGACGATGAGCAAGAAGTGACTGGCGCACCCACAGCGACCACCGCGCCCGCAGCCACACCCACGGCCATGAGCGAAGCAGGACGTACACACCACGTGGACTTATCCCTGCCTGAGAATGCGGGCAATGGTCTGGTACTGCACTCTACGCCCAGGCCGTCTCCGTTGGCTGGGATGAGCTTGGTGGAGTCTATTAAGAGAAGAGGTACAGGAGACTTGGATGCCAGTTTGGCTCAGGGCGGTGGGATGAATATCGTAGTCTCCCCTGCCACCACACCCTCGCCCAAACCGGTGCCTACGGCGAGGATGGCACCCCCAGGTAAATGGCATGGCAAGCAGGTCAGATTCTTCTACCCACACATTCATCGTTCCTGATACATGCGTAATTGGATATGCACACACACACTTGTACATGTGCATAGTTGTTGTACTACAGTTTCAGAGGCACAGTACGAAGAGCACTCTGGTAGATTGATGGAATATTCATAAGAGTTGTTCTTTGCACGTCTGCACCTGCACAACCATTCACTAAGCAACGGATACGACGAAAAAGTACTGCCACGATTGATTTGTATGTATACGATCTTCATCATTGCTCATACATGGCACTTGAGTTTATTTGACGTTCAGCTTAGAATACTTTACATTTTTACATGGTGATAATATGTTCCGCTCTTGCAGGTATACCGAATTGCACTAGGCACTGTAGTGTGAAAAAATTTATTTGCTTACGGATTAAGGTCTCTTCTTGCACTCCCACATTCTGTATGGCATTATTTCATAGCTTGCTAGGTGGGCTATCTAAACTGTGCATCCATCCATGGCAGTATCTATAGCGGTTGTCATGCTTTTATCATGGTTCAGCTGCGCTAACCGAGGCAGGACAGAGGATGTACATTGATATCTAAAATGCAACGTACTCTGTATTCTGTACTGCAAGCACCTTCCTACCATGTCAAACAAAGACTTACCATGGTGTATCGCGGACTAAGACGTCGTGTTGATTTTGTAAACCAGAACCCGATGAAGACGTTATACGCAACTTACCGAAGTCCAAGTTTCACTACAAGAACACCGCCGGTGGAGGATTTGTGTACTTGCCTGGAGAGCACCCAATGTGGGCCGAGATCGAAGCAACGGGAGCCGTCAAGTTCTTATTTGAGGTCTATGAGCCGGACAAGAGGGTATATAAAACAAATGTGCGGGTGAATTGTTTTATTTGTAGCTCATGTTGGTACATGTTGGTAGCGTGAATATATAGACTAAGAAAGTACAATCAAATTGCTATTAAAACCTTACCACCTCGCACACCCGCAACTTCCACTCTGTTCGCACCTGGCTCGTTGAACACGATTATCTATGGCTAGTGCACTGCGAAAGAGTTCGGTTGTATATGGATGATGTCTTGCGATTTTTGTACTGAGGTTAATGCTGAATGCTCAGGAAGCTAGCTACAGTTCAATGTATGAAAGACATTGTAAAAAAAACCCTAAATCCTTATATAATGTATGAAATGCATCATATGATGTAGTAGAAATAATTTAACGCCGACGGTGCTTTATTGATTGTAAAGGGCAACGGCAGCTGGTCAGCAGTCTGATGGCATAATAACTGGCAAGGCCTATCAGTACATCCTGAACGTTTTCGGTCTCATTGCGCGCAAGTCCTATGCACGGTTACAATGTATCACGCTCGGTGTGATGTCGACAGTAGATACATCGGCATCTAAGTGTACATTAACCTGCGAAGACTGCTCAAAGTTTAAAACTTTGTGGCTGACGTACACCAGTTTACCAACACCAACGCTCTTTCAATCCGCACAGTACAAATGGTATGACCCCGACAGTGTGTACATGGAAGACGCAAGCAGAGGGTTCTATGTGAGGATATCAGACAATGACGGTGTTACACTGTCTGCTGATGGGCATCAGACCTGGAAAAAGTTGTGTTCGGGTGCTTGGGCCGATGACAAGGACACGGTCCTCAAGACTATGGCGAGAAGAGGGCCTGTTATTGTCTCTATCTCCAACGAGTATGTATATATGTATACAATATGTATTGGACATATGCATGTGTCAAAAGTACGAGTATATAAGGTTTTTGTCTGAATATGGCTAACGACACGTATACCTTGTGAGTTTGCTGCTGCATAGCTACAAATAGAAGTGATAGATGAGGCCACGGCAGGATTTATTCGTCCTGAACACATGTGCGCCCATGTAGACAAACCGGTTGTTATCATGGATACAGGTGGTGCATAATTTGTATTTCGACGATAAATAGGTCCATACAACACTAACACAACAAATTGATTGTTCGGTACACGTGTACGTGTGCACCGGTGTCTACGTGGTTGTAAGCAGTCAGTGGAGCATTTCTTTATTATGCGTGCATAAGAGCAATTATACTTCACTTCATATGAACTCATCCATGTCTGTCAACCAATACCAAAACGTCAATTCTCAGCGGAAATCCAATCGTGAATCTGAGTTCCGTTGTCCCCCTGGCGCTGGTGAAGTTCATCGTCAAGGAGAATGGCAATCTGTTTCATCACCTAGAATTCGCACCCGAAACACATACAATTGACTTCACAGACGAATCCGTGAAGCGCATGTGGAGGTATGTCTCTTCTGATATGTCTTTGAAATATCCTGTACCTTGTTGCCGATACCCTCGTCTCCGAAAATTGTTGTGCGTACATGATTTGTTGTTCAATGTGTGTTGGGTCTGTCGTATCCAATTTGGCGGTTCAATTTTTAAACACTTTTGCAACAAAGCATCAACCTTTCTTTTGCACCTGCATGATCAGTTAAAGCAGTAGCGTTACGCATATGCCTTCAATATGTTCGGCGTTGCATCAAGCTACCGTGATTCGTATCAGTCTTCAAGTGTAATAGCATCAAAATAGTGTCAGTTATTTGACGCTCAAGTCCAACGTCAAAACAAAACACATCTGTGTACACATCTGGATAACCTGCAGGACGAAGCACGAGGACGCCGGTGTTGAAGCGCCTGAGTTAGAGGCATACTTTGTGGAAGCGTGGGATGTGAAAGGTCACTCAGCGCGTCAAGCAGTGAGATGACCCCGTCACTTGTGCTCACATGAACTTGATAGAAGTGTTGGAAGCTAGCCCAGACATCATAGAACAATCAGAAATGTAGCGTCGAGCAATTAGAAATGTAACGTTGAGCAATTAGAAATGTAGCGTCAACCTTAAGAGGTAGTAAAAATGTAGTCTTGTGGTTATTTGACATGTATTTTTTTGATAGAGGAGTCATAAAATTATCGTATAGGACGGTATTTCGTTTTGTGTTCATACAGATCAAATCTCCAATGTTCAATTCTCGTGGGTTGAAGAAGTTTAGAATCAGTAGCATGTAGATGCTATCGAATTGTCATAGTGATCTTATTACTGCGTTTACTGCTTGCCTGTATATTTGACGCCTATTTTAATTGGTGAGGTGGTGCAGAGGTATCTGCTACTGGTCAATTCATTGTGAGCACCAGCGGAGACAGCCACGGAATACGAGAGCTTGTGAGAGCCGGAGAAGGCTTTTTACACAATAAATGGAATACATCCACCCTCAAACGGTTTACGACTTTAACGTCACCATCAACCATATCCGAGACTCTGAGGTCCATGACCTCTACTAGAGAGAAGGCAGCGTTCCAGAAATCGTATTCTTGGGTCTTTCTACTATCAACGGGGCTGCGGGGCACATTTTGGAAATCTACATTCATATATATATTTGTTCGCAATTTTCAGTAGAGAGTGAACCGTGGCGAATTATCAGTACATGATAACATACTATTTCTAAAATAGTATAGGGATGTATCACGAGGTTATATATTCCATGTTGGGCGTTATAAGATTTCTACCCGACCAGATTACGGGCTGGGATGCGACGGGAAATTGAATCTACGATAGTCTTTATTTTCGTAAGTATTGGAGCGAGAGCAAGTCAGTGTTTGGAAAAGCGGGGCCGAAGATTGTTAGAGAGTCAGTTAGTTATGAGCTTAAAAGAAGTGTTATATTGTTGCGCCTGCTCAAGGATTTTAAAAATATACTGAACTATTTCATATCTGACATTATTCCTGTCATGACTAATTCATTGAACAGGGGAAACCCGATACCCCCCTTTTAAGAAAAATCAATTACATTACATTTTATATTGATCAATATATGCTCCGCATAGCAATTCCGATGAATATATGGGACAGAAAGAGTCCTGCACCTCGGGGTAGAGGGCATGACTGGCACTGTTTAGAAGAGAACAAGACTCGAGCCTAATTAGAGCAAGTGATCATATTGTACTTATTAGTGGTTCACTCCATCAGGCTGATGGTTTTAGTATTTACCCGCGAGCCGTACTATTAGGCTCGACGGGTAGTCTCAGGAGGCCTCATTTGTACACACTAGATATTGGGAACGTTCGAGCTAAATATCTAGTTTAGTTAAATAAAGGAAAGGTGTACTTTTAGAGTATACTCGAACTACGACTAAACTATCTTGGACGTAGCCAAGTCACGAGACACGAGGAAGTAGATGACACGGTGTTTTTTTTGTTTTTGTTTTTTACCACGTTACGAGAATAAAACAGAGACTTTCTTGCAACCATGTCAACTAGTGGATAAGATCGACCTCCACGCATGTACATTGGTGCAAAACCAAGGCCCCATTTGGAGCACTATTGCGACTGTGGAAGAAGTTCACTAGAGGAATAAAATGCAGCACGTTAGCCAAAGAACTCAATTTCAATCGATACCTATTAAAATCTATCCATTGTTACCGGATGAACCCAGCATTCACAATGTAGAGAGAGTATTAGTGGAACATTTCGGTGCAGCCAGCCAACTTTTTGGACCCGGTTATACTGTGGATCTGTACGCGATGGCATCGGAAATGAGTGCACAATCAGAGAAAGCAACATGGCAACGAGCAATGATAATGACGGAACTCACAGAATTTGCCGTGGGCAGCATTATTTATACGACTGAAACGGAGTTGAACCCTCAGGGTAGGGGCAAAAATGCAATACGGAACGCACCGATGAAATTTAGCATGTTAGAGACAGCAACGTCAGGTTTGACACCGCAACAAGTGTATGAGGCTAACCAGAAGATGTAACAACAGACAGATGAAGCATCACGAAAACAGGTCAGCCGTGGAAAACGACATATAACACTACTATGGCTCAGTGAAGCGTTAAAAGGTAGACCAGCAGGGTTAATGCCTATAGGCGAAGGTGGCACACACAGAGATTTTTTCAAATGAAAAAACGGATACCGGAAGCACTGTTAATAGCGGCAAAGGAACCCTTAACAGCAACAATCCAGAGGACTGAAGCTATAGAACATGCGGCGGCGGCGAAGGCGGACAAATGCAGAAATGAATGGAAGCATAAACAACGCGACAAAGTGAAGGAGAGAGAAGTGCAAGAGGATAAGCGAAGAAAGGATAGCGAAGCAGCAAGGAACAATGGACACGAGCGTGCAGTCGTAGTCCCAGTAGAAATTAAAGCAGACATACGAGTAGGTCACTAGCACCCCAGGTTACAAATAGATAACCTCCGCGGTGCCGAGAGAGTATATTAGAACCGGAGAGCACGCATGGGTACAAAGCAGAACAATATCGAAGAGAGAGGTACTAGGATAAAGCAGAATAGTACGAGGACACTACGACAACCAAACGACCCAGCACCAGATGTAGAAATGTTGAATAGTTCATTGAGAAAGTACGTGCGACACCCGTCACAACGAAGCCGGCAGGAACACACAGACATTCAGAAAGCACACTGGTTCATGTCATACCTTGGTTGGCTGTAGATGAAAACCTGAACCAAGATGCATCACGAGGAGAAAACTTTGCGGCACTAGCAATGCTGCACGCCGTGACCAAGAACACAAACTGGAGTGTAGCATTGACATACATTTACAATAGATACGGCGCCTTTGGTCAAAGCACTTAACGAATTACAGTCGGTAGGGAGGACATTTATTATTGCAGCATTCCCGAAGGATAACCGAGCAACACTGTTAGATGCCTACGAATTATTAGGGCCAGGGAGAGCAGCTGCACATGTAGCAAATTTAGCAGCGGCATTCCAAGGAGACATTCAATCTAATTATTTAGTCTTGACAGAGGTAGGTGACAAAGCTGAGATAGGGATAGACGAGGCCACAGCAGAAAACAACTAAGATACGGCAGAGGAAACATCCGCGCGTCAAGAGGAGATAGATGCGATAGAGATCGTGACCAAGGGTATGACGCAGCAAGACTTCTGCAGAAGGTTTCTCATACTGATCATATGAGTTTTTACCCTAGCCAGCCCAAGTGGCTGAGCACTAGCACAAACACCTTAGGTATAAAACAAAAGGTGAGATCAGAAATAAATACATACATTTGCACTTTATTTAGTTTACTGCATTACACTAACAGGGCTCGTTCCGCGGTCAGCATACACCAGCTGAATATTCCTTGACTCACCGTTGGCAGCAGCACCCAAAGAATGGAAGTAATTAACAACTGGTGGCAGCAATACGGACCATGCCAACGGCGATTAACTTTATGTATCGTTGTAATTTCAGCTTCACGTTATTCAAGAAACTGGTAAGTAAGCATGGTCACAAAAATACGGAGAACTTTCAGGTGGAGGACGAGGAATTCTTTAACGAACACGCACACACGATCGAGAAGACCGATACGAAGCTTAATGGCAATAAGTTAGCATATAAGTATGCCGGGTCTAGAGCGCTACAGGAAGAAAAGCTAGCGGAATGGAAACACAAACTGGCAGCGACACAGTTAGCAACGGACGAAGAGGATGCGAAAGCTAGTTTGTCCGATCGAAAATTTTAATGAGTCAACTATCCCTGCAGGCAAGCATTGGGGAGTCTCGGGGGGTTGTAATTCTGATGGATATATGGGACAGAAAGAGTCCTGCACCTCGGGGTAGTGGGCAAGGCTGACACTGTTTAGAAGAGGACAAGACTCAAGCCTAATTAAGGCAAGCAATCCTATTGGACTAATTAATGGTTCACTCCATCAGGCTGATGGTCTTAGTATTTACCCGCGAGCCTTGCTATAAGGCTCGACAGGTAGTTCCAGGAGGGCACATTTGTGCACACGTAGAGATTGGTAACATTCGAGCTAAATATCTAGTTTAGTTAAATAAGGGAAAGGTGTACTTTTAGTTAAATAAAAGAAAGGTGTACTTTTAGAAGATACTCTAACTGGAGTATGGTTTTATTCAAATCAAGAAATACAAACTAGAAACTTTGGCCTGCAGCCCGCAGATTCAGATAATCGGATCACTGATAGGCAAATACCCGAACCGGCGGACTCACTGACCGCTCCGCACTTCGTGAACTCTGCAGGGCAGGCAAAATGCGTTTGCTGCAATGTTGCCTTATCAACTTGGGCAACACTCCACTTAGCAATCGTTCTAGTAGCTCCGTATGGTTTTGCGATTTAATACGCTTATATTCGGCTCTCATTGGTGACCTAGTAATACATATGATGGTCAGAGATAGTCCAATAAGATCGAGAGACCTGATCTACCAAGATTAAGAGGTGCCGAGAGTAGATCTACCAGAAATACGCCAGTCATCATATTTCAATTCAGGTTTAGCGGTTCCATGGCCATTTGTTTGTTTTTATACTGTTTGGAAATTTATTTACATATGCTTATTGTTCCTTGTACAAAATAATAATAATAATAAATCTTCATAGGGTGTCGCCCACTGCCCCACAGGTTACAACGCCTGGTATTTATGTAGAGTGCAATGTATTTACTCCTCGGTCAGACGGTCAATGGCGTCTCCGACACCACTGAGGTCCTTTGTCATATCGTGTACTTTATGCAATTGAAGACTTTGAGGTATGTGTCAAATCATATAATAGGTGATAAATAGTCGCTGGTTCAAAAAACCGATTGGTGCCGTTAGTGTTGTATGTCTGACGTGATGTCCATAATGGGTGGGATAGATTGTAGAATGAGATCAAGGATTGAGTGGAGGATCGAGTGAATGATGGATTACAGATGGTGAAGAAACAAGGTTCTTGTGAACAGAGCGCCGTGTTAGGTTGAATGGACATGCAGAGTGCTGAAAGTATGATTGGCTATAAGGACTTACAACTATGTAAAGCCGAGCATGAGGGAAAGCTGCAACTGATCGTTGATGTGAAAGCAGGCTGCAAATAGTATATATAGTGGGGTCGAAGTACCTAAATACCAGTTAATAGTGAGTCAACATCACGTATATTGAACTGTGTCTACTCAAGAGGGTTTTCTACCCTATCTAGACTGTTGATTTTCTACGTACAG